CGTAAATCATGGATTTTCAACGGCTGATAAGTAAATCCGTTCGCAGGAAACCACATTGACAAAACTAATGTGAGAAAAACTGACATCAGAAGTTAGGGATACTTCAACCATTTACCTGTCATTAAAAGTAAATGAAATCAATTAATCTAAATCAAATCTAACGGAACAATCCCGTCTACAGATTTGCTACTCGTTATATATCAACTGAAGATGCTTTGTAGTTCTAAATGAATACACTCATTTCTTTTTATAAGAAACGAAGGTCGATGTTGAGTAATCCAGTTTCTTAATGTTTTGGAAATTTCAATAATCACTGTTTCTTAATCATGATGTCATGAATGATGTTACAAAATGTTCGTGATCTTTTTTCACGTCAAGAGATTAGTTTCCGTTCTGACGTTTTATTCTTGTGTCTAAATTTCTAGGCCATCAGGGCAATCATGTTCTTGGATTTTACAAAATTTCGTTGTTCTCAGTTTCATCGCGATTTAATATTTTCTTAGTTCTTTCGCTTCGAGTACTGAAATTTCTTAATTTTTTCTTACTGTCCAGTACTCGTTTCTTATACCCAGTTTCTTATAAAAAATGAGTGTACGTGCGTTTTTTTCAAGGACAAAGCTTCCATCTAACATTTAAGTTGAGCTGACCCATTGATTTTAACATGGAAGTTGGCGATTGTTTTCCATTCCATGTTTTAGCGTTTCCACTGTTGGAATTCCTGGAAGAAGGAAAATTATGTGACATAATTTGAAAATATTTTAGTAGAAAATTTGGATGAATTCTATGAGCAGATTTTCAAAGCATGACTGTCGGGACAGTTGAGGAAAATGGGAGGGTTGTATGCCCCCTCACAATAATTACAGACACGTTAAGATGCTGTATCCATAAAATATAACGTAATTAAATGTTAGATGTGTGAGAAGGTTTTTTAGCACTAGGTATTTTGTACTGTCTTGAAAGAAAAAAATATTATTCTGTGCAATTTTGTTATTTTCTTATTTTATAACAAAGTCAATAAAGAATGAGCAGCTAAGGAACCAATTAGAGTTTAATTACCATTTTTGTCACGACAAGTTTTAATGTTGTCAAAAGAACTAAAAACAATAAACGAATTAGTCCAGTCCTTGACAACTGATTAGATCGTTTTTCTTTTCGCGGGTATACTATGAAAAATATGTTAAAAGGGTCCTGCCAAAGCAATTGTTTGATGTCAATGATTTCGTAACATTTGTGTGCTTATATAAATGTTTCGCCATTTTCCACGCTATAGTAAAAATAATGAAAGATTGCAATTAAAAGAAACAAGCAAAACAAATAAAACAATGAATCAAAACTAAATGACGCGATCTATATGGAAGGATCTCTATTTTATTGTTTTATTAAATGATGTTCAATTGTGATAGTTTGTAAAAGACTAATTAAAAATGTAAGAAACCTTATATTTTAATAAGGAACAATACTATGTTTAATTTGAGTTGAGTTCGGTTAACCCAAGGTTTAAAAAACCACAGCCCACCCGCCTTCATCGAAAGAAAAGTATTACCATGTGAAAAGTTGTAACATTTTCGGTTACATTTACATTCAAATTTTAGATTGCCACAGTTATTTTTAGGAATTAGTGCTCGTGTGAACATAACACTGCCAAAAGCAGTATGGCGAATTTTGTACAAATGGCGAAAGAATGTTTTTTGTTTGTTTCTGACTTTCCTTGTCATGAAACTTCTTCAAGAAAAAAGTCTACGAGAAGAATACAGGTTTGATTGATCAACAAGCTCAAATGAATCAATGTTAACCATTTTTGAGCGAGGGGTGGTGAAAAAGCTAATTTCATACAAAATGATTGGCCCAATTTCCTGCGTACTCCCGTTTTTGCCTCTCCTTCTAAGCAGATCAAGATTCGATACCTATGACCCTTCCAAGTTACTAACAATCTAAAAAAAGTACCTAGTTCAAGAAATGTTGACCTCTTGTTTCCAGACTATGTCTTCATATTTAAACTTTAACTCTTTAATTCCAACATTTTTCAAATATGTTTCCCTCTAATACTCAATGTTTTGAATTCCACATTTTAATATATTGCAATTTGTTGATGTTTCCTTCCCTCTGCTTTCATGCGCACGTGTTGCATCCGTTAGAGTATTACAATGTTTATCAGCACACGTATTAGTTTAATAGAAAGAGGTATAATTTGCAATTCTAGAAATTTGCCGTCAATCAAACGATATATTCATTGCATTATGTTTATATTTTCTTAAGGTGCTTGCATGGATTTTGATGTTTATAAAACAACAAACAGATATCTTTGATGTGTTTTTTGAATTGTTTGAATATTAACTGGCTTGTTTGTTAAACAGAATTGAAATAAAAGGTCAAAGAAGGTAAGCTTAGTTTCTAAATCCCTTTTATCTTTTATATCTTTTCTTTGGACATTGTCAATTTACGTTCTTCTATGAACTATGAACTATTTGCCTTGATAAATTTTCAGGATTGCTTTTGGCAGATCTTATGTGGCAAAATTTCCTAAGTTTTGGAAATCTCTAAGATAGAATCAAATCAGATTTTATGTTTGCTAACGAAAAGTTAAATTATCGAATGTTTTCAACATTTTCCTTTACACTTCTAGACAGAAAAAATTCTAATTTGTGTTTCTATCCTTTAGGAATGATCACAGACTCTATTTTAATGTCTAAACTGGACACAAAATGACTTTATTCTAGGACTCTGTGTTTTCAAAAAATTGGTTTGGCTCTAACACATTTGCATATAAACAGAAAAAATAAGACGCATTACGGCTGTATTTTTTTTTCACTGCTAAGTTTTCACAAAATCTTTAGTTTTCCAAAACTATCTGTCGAATACACTCTCTTTTTTAAGAGCCAGCAAATTAATTTTCAGGCTGACTGTTCTTAATTTGTTCTTAAATTGTTAGGGTATTAGCAGTGCAGTTGCCTGGCAGTAAGCTTAGGCCCATTTTAACGACAAGTTTGAGAATCACCGAAGAGCACATCTAGATTGCAAACATTTCTTCTTTTCAAACGGAAGTTTTAAAAGAGGTTTCACGCAACATTTTTCAAAATAATTGTTTGCAGTATTACAGTCTCAGCATATTCTTAATTTATTCTTGACTTTTGACCAATTTTGAAGCTCCTATTATAAATTTGTGTATATAAAAAAGAAAGTGCAACTTTCGAGACCGCGTGTATACGAACAAACCACCAGGACAATTCTCTTCGTAAATGGCAACTCATCTAGCAAACAAAATTCTCCTTCAAAAGGAAAAGTTTGATTCCATTGGTCTCTGATAATGGAAAAACCTTCAGACAACATTGTTCATTCATTAATACCACAGTCTCAATAAATGGATGGAAAAAGTCGACACCCAACACTAATTTAGTGCCGGTTTATTTGCTCTCTTGAATATGGCTCAGACTTTCTACTGTCCACTCTACAAGTAGAAGGAAATCGACATCATGTATCTGACATGTGACACTGGGCAGACTCTCTTTTTTATAAATGTTTGTTTTTGCGTTTCCTCTTGTAATATCCTTTCGAGAGAGTCACTTAAAATCTTTATTCGTATGTTTCGTGAGCTCCTATCGTTTCCTTATTATCGACTTTGGCTATATCAATTTTCTGTGACCTAGGCTCATGGCGACAGAGCACCGTTGTTTGATAGAAACTAGCTTGTGCCATACAATCTCCAGTGTTCTTCTCAATACTGGATTAAGTTGGAGCTTTTGTATAAAGGCTCTTGTAATAGGGTTGAATAAAATAATAAACTTTTATTGTCACGTTTATTAAGAGTTACTCAGACAGTCATTGAAAACTAGTTTTATATGGCTTGTGATATGATTACCAATCAACCTCTTTGAAAGACAGACGTCCAGCTGGTTTTCATGCACGAACTGCCATCAAATCCCTCAAAAACGAATTCGGCCTTTGCAATAAACCGCCACAATTGCTTATCAGTCACTCCACAATTGCCCCATTGCCTTTCGGTTTTTCCATACTGATAACAATTGCAAATCGGTTTAAACCGCTTAGAAAATTACGACCGTTACACCTGATATCTACCTCTTCTGAAGTGCCGCCAACCACAATTACCTACGCTTAGATTATGTCATCCAGTGACAGCAATATTGACTAGTCAGTATTCATATTATGTTAATTAGATGGTAATTTATTCAGTCGTAAGATGACCATTCAGTCGGGGAATGCATAATATTACTACCTGTACCATAGGGTGCGACTAACGGACACAATTTCTTAAAAGCAAAATACATGGTGTTTCAAATTCTTCCAATGCATGCTTCACACTGTTTGCACACACGAGATTCTCGCCTTTTCTTTGTTTGCCTACTTAAAAACCCTGTTCGTATTTTTAATCCTAGTTGAAACCAAACAAGATTTCATTTCGGCCAATCTTACTTAAAGACAGCAATTTGCGAAGGAAAAACCACATTTGAAAACGTGCCTTCGTGTGCTTTAAAATAACCTTTCAGATAAACTCATGGACTCTTTGCATTGCATCTCGACAAAGCATCACTGATGTCCATCGTCTTAACATTATATCTTGTAATGAGGCACCTTTACTACATGCATGAACTTTAACACAACGAGATGCGAGCCTTTGAAGTTGTAATGCATTGGAAACTACTGTGTATTCTACAATAATGTGATGACCGAAGATTTCCTTATGGGAGCAGATCTCTTCTTAAAAGAACACTTCTAATCACTTTTGGGCAATACCTTCAGAAAAGAAAATAGCGCCAAAGCCCACATTCAAACTGTCAATGATTTTCAAACTTGTTGAGGCTAAAAAACAACTTCATCACGTCCCGTGTAGTGTAGCATACACTCACTAAATTGTGAATTTAAATGTTTTAATCTAGTA